CCCTACACTACAAAACTCTTATATATATCCCTGGTTCGGCCCATACTCGAATATTGTTCGTTTGTATGGTCCCCTCAATACACAAAGTAGCAGGACCCAATCGAATCGGAACAGAAGCAATTCCTTTTGTTCGCGCTTCGGTGTTTAGACTGGGACCCACATCGCCACCTTCCTCCGTATGCCGACAGACTACGCCTTCTGGACCTGCCCTCTCTTAAGAATCGTTGGACCTGCCATGGCGTGATGTTCCTGCATAAACTAATAAATGGATATATTTTTTTCAGTAATCTTCTGAAGCAAATACGCTTTTCAGTTCCTTCTAGGCCATCACGATACTTTCGGCCTATAGCTTTGGATATTTGTAAAACTAATTTCGAGGCACACGATCCTTTTCGCGTTTTTTGTTCGCTTTACAACGACATGTACTCTCTCTGTTATATTTTGAAATGTCATTAGACTTTAACAAAAATAATATTTTAAGACACCTATCCTTGCCTCTGACCACCTGATGTGAGTCGGAGCATATCATTAAAAAACACTCCTTATCCGGTCTGAGGTAAGGATATGGATTTATAATGGCAGATATTTGCTATATCTTAATAATAAATAAATAAAAAATAAAATCTGAGCGCTGAAAGATAAGAAATTAGTGTTATTGATGTTAGCTAGCGCCAACAACAACACAAGGCGATGCAGCGATAAGCGGTAAACACAATGCACAAGAATAGGAAGGCAAGGCAATTGTAAAACCGAAATTGTTTTACGACGATAAAGTCACACACTTTATTTTGTAAGGATGTGCCTTGGGCCGGGGTAAACCTCAGCGGCCCAGGATTCCTCTCCAGAAATATTTATATTATAGAGACGGCCAGAACATGGACGCCGAATTTTATTGAATTTCCTAGGGGCAAAATGGCAGCGAAAGGGGCTCGTTTTAAAATGGGCAAGTCTAACTTTGGGAAAATGGGAACCTTGAACGGTCACCCTGGCGATGGCCAGGTGCTCCTCCGTTTCCTGCGCCCGCTCGGTTTCCCGGCAGCGGCGACTCTTTCGACCGGCAAAATCTCCCGTCGCCCAGCGAGACCCAGCGGCGATGGCGGGAGACAACGCAGATCGGACGCGAGGAGAGGAAAAAAGGGGGATCTTGGACGCGATCACTCTGGCGATGGCCAGGTGTTCCTCCGTTTCCTGCGCCCGCTCGGTTGCCCAGCAGCGGCGACTGTTTCGATCGGCAAAATCTCCGCCGACCTGGGTGACCCAGCGGCGATGGCGGGTAAAATGCAGATCGGAAGGGAAAGGAGAGGGAAGAGGGGAAAATCTTTGAGCACGCGCCGGCGGCGAGGAGCCCGTAGCTCGGGAAAACCCAGCAGCCCCGATGCCCACGCCAGATCTGTGCGCGGGAGAACCCAGCGGCGACAAATCCCGCTCCCGTCCCGCTGCTCTGGCCCGGAGCTTGCCCAGCGGCCACGCGAAGTTGGTGCGGGAGTACCCAGCCACCAGCTCGGCGAGTGAGTGAGCGGGAGGGGAGCACTTTGGCGCGCGTCACAATAAGAGATGATCTTTAGCAACGCGGAGTTTTATGCGGGTGCGAGGGAGAAAGCGATAGGTTTTCTGGCTTCATTTGTCTGCGCTTTATTTTTATTAATTTAGTTATTACTTCTATAATTTTTTCTAAGCTATGACTGTCGTCCCTAACCTGGCCCTACGCCACACTCCAGAACTCTGGCCCTGACATTTTGCCTCTCGGCCGGCTCACCCGCTGTTGTCGGTGGACTGGGACACGTGTCCGGCAGCCAGGATATGTAAGGGCACGCGTGTCCTTTTTGGACTTGTCGATTTGGAAATTTATTCCCACGTGTCCTTTGAGGACTTGTCGCCCGCGGCGGAAGAGATGCGTAACGATCGCGTTCCAAGCTGCCAGAGAAGTGAAAGAGGCCAAGTTCGGGCAGAGCCCTTGTGGCCTAATTCTGTCCGGAATTTTGCGGGCAGCGCAGCTTTCTGTCGTCGGCTTTGTTGTCGTCTTTGTTTATGTTTTGATCGTGTTGTTTATGTTTTGATCGTGCTTGTTTACATGCCGATCGTTGTTGTCGTCCCAGAGGGGAAATGTCGCTGCCTCTGCCGCTGTCGCGTCGACTTGCGTCGGCAGCGGAGAGGGGAAATGCTTTGAGCGCGGCCGCGACTGTTTTAGTGCGGCCAGTTGACGTAGGCCTAAAGTCGTTCCCTAAAAAATGTACACGCCTACTTGCTGTTGTCTAATTACTTTGTAATCTGGCCCTTCTTGGGCAAAATAAAGATCGGGCTTTGTGCCTGTTGAGCTATTGAGCTTTTTCAATAGCTGTCGAATTGTCCAATTTCCTTTTGACCCAAAAAATACGCACTTGTTTTAAACGTTATAAATTAAATGCAATATTTATTAAGTCACGAAGTTTTTCTATTGTTTATCAGCGCAGGCGAGCCGAATTGCCGCTACGGATATTTATGACCCGAATTGGTCCGAAAATAGTTATAGGCAAATATTTTCGTTGATCGCTATCAAGCATAGGCGAAGACAAACGAAGACGAACTTTTCTATTATTTATCAGCGCAGGCGAGCCGAATTGCCGCTGCGGATATTTATGACCCGAATTGGTCCGAAAATAGTTACACGCAAATAAGGAGTTGATCGCTTGCAAGCATAGGCGAAGACAAGCAAAGATGAACTGAGAAAAGAATTTTTGCTGCAGTTAGCGGACGGCTAAGGGCAGCTATGCAAATAGAGCGAGAGAGTGATAAAGTTTATGTTATGCGGAAGGCAGGAGGGGAGGTAAAGCTTTGCAAATTTATTGTTGTCGTTTGGCCGCTGGGTCATCAGGTGCGGGCTGCATAACCAGACATTCTCCCCCCGTTGGAAGACAAGGGCTTTCAACTTCATCCTGCTTCGGCAGCACACACAGCTTAGCAACTGCGCGATTGATGAGGCCAGTGGCGGTCTTCAGCACAGCGACTCGAGCCACATTGTCGGATCCAGCGACGAGGTTGACCACTCGAGCTAGTGGCCACTTGAGGGAGGGCAGGTTTTCGTCGTTAACCAGAACGACATCACCGAGTTGAACATCCGTCTTCTGTGTGCGCCACTTGGAGCGCTGTTGAAGGAGCGTCAGGTACTCCTTTTTCCAGCGGGACCAGAACAGTTGCTGGTAGAACGAAATTTTCTGCCAGCGATCCAACCGATTGAGGTTCAAGTTAGTGTAGTCAGGCTCAGGAAACAAGGCCAGAGGAGCAGTACCCAAGAAGTGAGCCGGTGTCAGCACATCAAGATCGCCAGGGTGTTCTGAAAGTGAGACTAAAGGACGAGAATCAATGATTGCCGCGATGTGGCAAACGAGAGTGCGCAGGTCATCAGCGGGCAGTATTGCAGGTCCAACAGATCGGTAGAAGTGGTACTTCGCAGTCTTCACAGCCGCCTCCCATAGACCTCCAAAGTGGGGAGAGCGAGGAGGAATAAATCGCCATTCGATGCTGTCAGTCAAGCAGAATTCATCTATTGCGGTTTGGTGGCTGGCATTCAGGAACAATCGCTTTAGCTCAGCCAACTCGTTCTTAGCGCCAACAAAATTAGTCGCATTGTCCGACCATATGCGGGCAGGCTTGCCACGAATCAGTATAAAGCGCCTCAATGCGCTAAGAAACGCTGAAGTGGAGAGATCCTGGACCAGCTCGAGGTGCACAGCCTTTGTGGAAAAGCATAAAAAAATGCAGACGTAGCACTTGATGGGTGCCTTATTCCGAACTTCCGACTTGTGGTAGAAAGGGCCACCAAAATCCAGTCCACACACCTGGAAGGCGCTGACGCGGTCCTTCGGAAGATCCGCCATAATGTGGCCAGCAACATGTGGCTTGGCCCGAAAACAAATTATGCATTTACTCACAGCAATCGCAACCATCTTGCGGCCACCAATTGGCCAAAACTGCTGCCGGATTGAAGCGAGCAGGGAGCGAGGTCCAGAGTGTAGGTTGCGCCGATGAAAATGCAGGATTATTGCGCGAGTTACAGGATGCTGACGAGGTAATATCAGTGGATGGTACAAGGATACATCAGCAGCTGTCGAGATGCCAACCAAAGCAATCTTTTTAAGGTCAGGAAGAGTCTTCACTGCAAGGCAGGACTCTGGCCATTGAGATTTTTCTTTTAGAAGATAGTCCGGTCCATGAGCCCATAGGTTAGAAGCTACCAGTTCACTGGGAAGAGCACCTCTTACCAGGATATCTGCTGGATTGCAGCTCGTAGGGACGTAGCGCCACTCCATTCCGTTTGTAATCGACTGAATTAAAGAGATTCGGTTAGCAGTAAATATTTGAAAACGTGACGACTCATCTCTAAGCCAGGACAAAACAACTGCAGAATCCGACCAGCAGTAGTAGGAGCACGAGAATAGCCCCATTTGTTGTACTTCTTGAATGAGTTGAGCCAGCAACACGGCAGCAGACAACTCCAGCTTAGTAGTTGTGCTATCCTGAATAAATGCCGAGTACTGCGCTTTGAGATGAGGATGACGATCAAGTTTGTTCTCCAGGTTGACGAAACGACGATAAGCTTGTTGATATGAATCTCCCAGGATTTCAACACTATGCTTAGTTGGCAGGCGAACCGAGTATTCTCCTGACGGCAGCCGAGTAAAGTTGTCGTTGAAATGAGCTTCACAATCGAGTTCCTCTTTGGTACGTTGAGATCCAGACTCTCCAACGTTTTCCAATTCCCAAAACTTCCGCACAACGCTCTCCAGACCAGCGTCATCTCCGACTAACGTCCCTGCAATAGATTGGACAGCCAAGGCCGCTGACTGGCGTGGCGCTGATCCTCCGCCAGTGACAACCCATCCCAGTCGGGTTTTTTGCAACAGAGGGAGCCCATCAGACAACTTAATTTGGCCAACACATAACAGTTCAAAGAATAGACTTGCTCCAATTAATAAGTCAATTCTTTGCGATCTGAAGAACTGTGGATCGGCCAGGCGAATGTTTTAGGGTATGTTCCAGTCCTCTGGGCTGACGGTGAACCTAGGCTGGTCGTCCGTGATGGCAGGCGCAACCAAAGCCGAGATACTGCAGACGAAATCTGCAGCTTGAGACTTGAGTAGTAATATTTACCGAAAAACCATCCGAGCAAAATTTAGAGTCTCCAAGTCCAGATACAGTGGCCGTGGATTTGACCTTCGGCAACTGAAGCGAGTGTGCGAGGCGAGAATTAATGATATGCAATTGAGATCCCGAGTCGAGCAGGGCGCGGCAAGGAACCCACGAACCAGAGCGATTTTGGACACTGATGACTGCAGTGGCAAGCAAAACACAATCCGTATCGAGATTCTGAGCGACTAAAGCAGCGGATTGCGATGACGACGAAGCGAGCGAAGAGTTTGACGATCCATTTGGAACAGCATTTGACGAAGATGGCACGTTAGGTGGAGCAGGTTGTGGGGGCGCTGTTGCAGGCGGTGCGAGAAAGTGTAGAAGGCTATGAGGCTTAGATCCACATGCTCGACAGGAGCCCGAACTACAATTCCTCATTTGATGTCCAGATTTGAGGCAGTTTAGGCATAAGGCTAGCCGTTTAGCTTCACGCAGACGAGCTTGAGGAGAAAGGCTGGCGAATTGAGCGCAATTATAAATGCCATGATTTGCACCCTGGCACATAACGCACGATCTGGTCGAGGCTGTGATGCTGGTGGCGACGAACGAACTGCTCCCATGACTGCTGAACCTCCTGGTCCTTGACGCTTGCGAATTGCCACCGTTGGATACAGCAGCATGCTCCACATTTTCAAGTTTCTGGCATCGCTTCTCCAGAAATTTAGTAAATTCTGTGCAGGTGGGTATTCGGTCCAGCGAGGCAGACTCTTCCCATTTAGCCTGGGTAGTCGGGTCAACCTTTTGCAGCAGCGTATGAACAAGAATGCAACCAGCTATCTCCTCCAAGGTACCCAAGCTCTGAAGCGCTCGAAGATTGGCATTGAGCTTGTCGGAGAGCCCCCGAAGCTTCACAGCTGATGCACTTTCCACCTTTGACAAACCATTGTAAGGATGTGTCTTAGGCCGGGGTAAACCTCAGCGGCCCAGGATTCCTCTCCAGAAATATTTATATTTTAGAGACGGCCAGGACATGGACGCCGAATTTTAATGACTTTTCTAGGGGGCAAAAATGGCAGCGAAAAGGGGCTCGTTTTCAAAAGGGGAACTCTGGCTTCGGGAAAATGGAAATCTTGGACGGTCACCCAGGCGATGGCCAGGTGCTCCTCCGTTTTCCTGCGCCCGCTCGGTTGCCCAGCAGCGGCGTCTCTTTCGATCGGCAAAATCTCCGCCGCCCGGGATGACCCAGCGGCGATGGCGGGCAAAATGCAGATCGGAAGGGAAAGGGAGAGGGGAAGGGGAAACCTAAAACACGTGGTCACCCTGGCGATGGCCAGGTGCTCCTTCGTTTTCCTGCGCCCGCTCGGTTGCCCAGCAGCGGCGACTCTTTCGATCGGCAAAATCTCCGCCGCCCGGGATGACCCAGCGGCGGGCAAAATGCAGATCGGAAGGGAAAAGGAGAGGGAAAAGGGGAAAATCTGTGAACACGTGCCGGCGGCGATGAACTCGTAACTCGGGAAAACCCAGCAGCCCCGATGCCCACGCCAGATCTGTGCCCGGGAGAACCCAGCAGCGACAAATCCCGCTCCCGTCCCGCTTCTCCGGCCCGGAGCTTGCCCAGCGACCACGCGGAGTTGGTGCGGGAGAACCCAGCCACCAGCTCGGCGAGTGAGTGAGCGGGAGGGGAACACTTTGGCACGCGTCAAAATAAGGGTTGGTTGTTGCTACGCGGAGTTTTATGCGGGTGCGAAAGAGAAAGACGATGGAATTTCTGAATTCATTTTTGGTACTTTATTTTATTACTTAATTATTATGTCTACATTTTCTAATGTACGCCTGTCGTCCCTAACCTGGCCCTACGCCACACTCCAATGACCTGCCCTTACATGGCACTCGGCCGGCTCACCTGATGTTAGCAACCAGGATGTAAGTCAACACACGCGGGTCCTTTTGGACTTAGCCGTCGGTTTGGATAATTTCGAGTCGCGGAGACTAATTTCAATTGTTCACGTTCGCAGTTGTCGGAGAAGTGATCGCGGTCGCAGCTTGCAAAGCCCTTGTCGCCTCGTCTCTGCCAAAAATGTCCGGGCAGCGCAGCTTTCGGCCGTCGGCTTTGTTATTGTTATTGTTTATGTTTTGATCGGCATGTAAATAAGCACGACCGACACGTAAACACGCACGATCGTCGGAGGGGAAATGTCGCTGCCTCTGCCGCTGTTTGCGTCGGCAGCGGAGAGGGGGAATGGCTTCAGCGCGGTCGCTACAGTCCGTGTTGACAAAATGTATACGCCTGTGCGTTGCGGCCTAAATCTAATTTGGCCCTTCCTGGGCAAATTAATTTTTGGCTTCATGCCCGCTTAAATGTACAGTTCTGTGTGTGGGTGTGTGATGTGGCTTATCCTACCTTATTTCCCTATACTAATTACTAACTTAACTATAACCTTAACTAATATGTACAATATTTACATAGGGTGTTGTGACATCGTCACACCATAAATATCTGTTATGTGAGCCTGAAAAATAAGGCGTTTATTATTGAAGCGATTGTCAAGTAATTCCAGAGCTACTCCATAGTTAGAGTCAGTGATCTCCAGCGAACGAACGGCATCTAAAGCTGGACCTTTCAGGCATGATTTCAGGTGCTGCAGCTTCTCAATTGGAGTCAGATCACTATTCCTATCAATAATTGTCAAGAACATCGAAATAAAATCGGCGTAATCAGTGTAGCCGCCGCTGAAGGTTGGCAACTTAAGCTCAGGAAGGCGCGATTTTCTTGGAGCAGGCGCAGCGGCCCCCATGGCCACCTCTGGATGCATGGTTGAACACGGAACTCCTGGGAATTTGCGCTTCCCCAGCTCTTGCAGCACCTGGAGTCGACATTTTTATTTTATTAGTTCACAATAGAAACTGCAGTCAACAGTGTGACATGCACTGCAGATTTTCGCACACAAGCGAAATTATTTTGTCAGAGTTACTGCACAAAATGAGCGGTGAGCGAATTCGAATAGCTATTACCGACGGCAAATGAACAGCAAGCAGACGAACGAGAGCAAAGAGTACACGCCAAAGTACTGCGACGACCCACGTCGCAACACAAACACTAACAACACAACAACAAGACATGAAGTCACATTCCTAATTTGTACATAGAAACATAGATTAAGGATAAACACATGAAGTACACACAATTTAGACATTAACAACACAACAACAAGACATGAAGTCACATTCCTCATTTGTACATAAAAGCATAGACTAAGAATAGACATAGATTAAGAATAAAAACAAACAACGAAGACAAAAACAAACAACACGAAACGACCAGATTCAAATTATGGCGGGCGCGGGAAAAGACAAGAAGTACGGGCACACTGGCACCAGGTGGGAACGCCAACCGAAACATGGTGCACCCAGCCCTGAACAACTGACACTAATCGAGTAGATCCGGTCGATCCGGCAACGCTCTGCCTATCGACCGTAAGGGAGTTATCGATTATCGATCAAGGGAGAACAGCGGTCAGCCGGCTATATAAAGCGGCGCACCGGCCAGTGCAAGTCACTTTTGGAGAGCAGCCGAGCAGACAACTGGTGAGTTAACAAGTAGTAGAATAAGGTTTGGCCCTGGCGGCGGACCTTAATAGAAAAGAAGGTAGGAAAGGTGAAGGTAGCGTTAGGTCTAGAGCTGGACCCCTGCAGGCGGATCTAACGAAGTAGTTGGGAGGAGCGGAGTTTGGCCCTTCGCACAGATAGTCAGGTGTGGGACGAGGTCGGGCCCTTGCATGGCAGATCTCGCGGAAACAGGGTATCGAGCGCGGTCCGTATGACCACGCCGTACAGGTAGTATAGACTTGGGGTTCTGATCTGGCCCTTGGATGGCAGATCAGGAATAGGGAGGGCGTCGAATGAGGTGCGCCACATTCGCCAAGCAAGCATAGGGAGGGGAGAAGATCTGGCCCTTGTCGGCGGATCTTGATAGCTACAGGGTAGCAGAAAGGCGTTAGGGACGGTGGGAGCTTAGGCACAACGATCGCTCACCTCGAGTGACGTCACCCGGACCCATCTACCGTGACCACGACTGCGGCCAGCCGCAACGGTCACGCACCCTAATCGCATCGCCCTAACAGGGTATTCACAAGCCGACTACGAGACAGTCGCATCACCCGAACAGGGTACTCACAAGCCGATCACCGACGATCGCACCACCGATACAGGGTATCACCTCGACGACTATCAGCCGTCGCATCGCCCGAGCAGGGTAACAACAAGTCGACCCACTGGATCCCAGTCGCAGTGTCGCATCACCCACCACCGGGTATCATCGTCAGCCAGCCGGCTGATCACCATCGAAGACCGGGACACGGATCTACCCGCAACCAGGGTATCAACAAGACATCACCACAGCAGCAACCACACTATATTCTTTCCACAGGTTTCACTATATCTTGATCAATAAAGCTTGTATTAAAATTACCTCTCTCCTCTTGCCTATTTACTGATTATTGGGACACGAGGGACTCGGACACTGCAAATTTTCTGTACGAACCCCGACTCCGGCGAGCTAGGCCGAGCACCCCAAAAGAGGGTCGTTACAGTGGCGCCCAACGTCCTGAAAACCTCGTAGTCCTTAATAACAAAGTAAAAAACCATCGCAACAGAGAAGTTAACCCGCGGATGGGTAACAAGTCTAAACAAGACCCAGCTAGAAGAATACATAAGGGAGTTTGGAATGGAACCAGAGCAGCTAGTGGAAGACCTACGACGCCAGCTATCAGACTTCATAAAAAAAGGAGACCACGACGAGGGAAGAGTCAACAGGCTGAGAGAACTAAGCCAGCGACATGCAAGGAACAGACAAAGCCCCGTAGTGGAGGTAAACTGGGAAGTAATCACAGCAATGCTACAGGCGGAAAAAGAAAAGAAACCAACAAACAGCGCGGACACAGAAAAAGACTTGGAGGAAGCAAGCTCCGAAAGGACTCAAGAAGGCTCGCCAAAGCCAGAACACAAAAGGAACGGCCAATCGGAACGCGCGTCAGCCATAAATACCATCCGAGGATTGGGCGAAACATTCGACGGGTCAGGAAACGCGTTAGAGTTCATAACACGGTTGGAAGAGCTGGCAGCGGCCTACGATATAGGGCTAGAAAACATTACAGCAGCAGCGGTAGTAATACTGAAAGGTGCAGCCCTAGACTGGTGGCGGACAAACCCAGAAAAGATTCACGATTGGGCAACGTTCAAGGCACAGGTTACGCGGTATTACGTACCGGCGAACTATAGGGAACGAGCAATGGAGCGGATAATGAGACGTCAGCAGTACGCACAGGAACCCGCAAAAGACTACGTACGGGAACTATGGAAGATGATGTCTCACACCACACTAAGCGAGGAACAAAAACTAGAATGGACATATAGGAACAGCACCGTGGAATTCAAGAGATATGCCAAACGTAGTGAAGTACAGTCGCTACAGAACTACCTAAGACTAACGGAGGAATTCGAAGCCTTAGGAACACAATACCCACAGCAGACACAAGCAAGAACGGCAGGAATACCCAACGTAAACAACCTGTGCCGACGATGCAAACAACCAGGGCATATGGCGCATCGGTGTAACAACCCGGCGAGACTGTTCTGCTGGATATGCGGAAGGGACAACACAAGAACAATCGACTGCTGCAGAAGATACGAGGGAAACGGAAGAGGCGCTGGGAGACAGGTGGGACACCCAGTGCCAACCCAGACATACCACCAGAAGATCATCGCCCAAGTCAAGGTGGCAGGCGTGCAGGTCGAAGGAATAGTCGACACAGGCGCAACGAAAAGTTTCATAAGCGAAAAACTAGCGGACAAACTCCGACAGTATGGCGAAGTCCAACCAACGGACGAGGTAATAAATCTAGCGGATGGAACTACGACGGCCACAGAAGAACTACATCTAAAGATCGAACTAGGGGAAAGCAAAGCAGAAATAACGCTACTAATTCTGGACGACGTTATCGGAGGTGTACTACTAGGGGTAGATTTCTTGGCACAGTGTGACACGACACTGCGATGCGGAGGATTAACCACTCAGCTCAAGCCACAGACTGGAAAACGGCAGAAACACCAGAAAGTAGGAATAGCGGCAGCAGAACCGACAGAGGCAGAAGTCGAGGAATTCCTCAAAAGGCAGCTAAAGCTGATGGGTGAAATCCACGGGACAAGTCACATTGCTAAGCACAAGATATACATGAAACACGACAGACCACTTAAGCAAAGGTGCTATCCGAAAAACCCTGCAATGCAGAAGATAATTCACGACCAAATTGAGGAACTCCTACAACAAGACCTGATCGAACCCTCGCACTCAGCCTATAGCTCACCAGTAGTGCTCGTTAAAAAAAAGAACAACCAGTGGAGACTATGTATTGACTACCGGCAGTTGAACACGCACTCGGAACGAGATGCATACCCGGTACCACGGATGGACCACATCCTTAACCAACTGAGAGAGGCAAAGTACATCAGCACACTGGACTTAATGAACGGCTACTGGCAAATACCCATGGAAGAGAACAGCAAACAGTACACGGCATTTACAGTAACTGGACGAGGATTATTCCAATGGAAGGTCATGCCATTCGGTCTGCACACCGCACCATTCGCGTTCGCCTACCTCGACGACATTGTAGTGATCGGCAGAACAAAGAGAGAACACCTGGAGAACCTCCATGAGGTACTGGCAAGGCTACGGAAAGCGACATTACGAATCAACCCGGAAAAATGCCATTTCTTCCAGGACAAGTTGAAGTAGTAAGCGCGAGGGGGATACACACAGACCCCGACAAAATAGCCGCAATCAAGGATCTGCCCGAGCCGACAACGACAAAACAAGTCCACAGCTTCCTGGGAGTCGCCTCATGGTACAGAAGATTCGTACCCAGATTCACCGAAATCGCGAAGCCGTTGTTTGAGTTGTGTAAGGAAGTTCGACGGCTGGGGTAGGTCTCAGTCACGTCCAAGGTCCTCTTTATCAGAAAAATTTATAAAGATATGGGACAAAGCGTTTTGACGCGCGGTAACTGACGTGAGATGGTAGTTGTCAGTTACCGGGATACGAAGCCAGAGAAATGGCTTGTCCGGTCTTTGCAATAGAGCGAAATAATCGGCCAGATCGCGCTTTGGGTCGGGTCCATAGCAGACGCTATGGGGAGACCGAGAGAGGGGTCGATTATGGGGAGCACCGCTTCCTAGGGCAGAGTTTATGGCCTAAAATCTAGGCAATTTTGGGAAAATATTCCACGTTAGTCATGGCCAGCGTGATTTTGGGTCGTTCTCCGCGAGCTGGACTCGAGTTGAGCCGAAAATTATATTTAAAAGAGTTTTTCTTGAATTTATTATACCCTTGCAGGGTATTATAATTTCAGTCAGAAGTTTGCAACGTAGTGAAGGAGACGTTTCCGACCCTATAAAGTATATATATTCTTGATCAGCATCAACAGCCGAGTCGATCTAGCCATGTCCGTCTGTCCGTCTGTCCGTCCGTCTGTCCGTCCGTCTGTCCGTCCGTCTGTCCGTTTCTACGCAAACTAGTCCCTCAGTTTTAAAGCTATCTGAATGATCGGACGACTATATCATATAGCTGCCATACAAATGTTCGATAAATTTTTAGAAAAAAATTTTAACTTGGCTGTTTTTCAATATTATTCCATCATTTTTGAGATATAGCCTTTTTATATTATTCCAGAATTTTGGTAAAAATTTTATGAAAATCGGACCACTATATCTTATAGCTGCCATAGGAACGATCGGGAAATTAATCAAAAAAATTATA